AAGGGAAACGAAAAAGCAAAGATATAGAGAAACAATGGTTGTTTCTGAATGATATTGCATGGAAAAGAGCAAAGAAGAAAGTTGAAGATATGATTCCAAATTTGCTTGTTCAAGAAACTTGGAACCATTTTTTTTTGGGGGGATTGCGTAAAGCTCAATAGAACTTGTAATAAATATTTGAGATTGTTTTAGAACATGTTTTTTTTTTTCTTGTAAAGTAGGGACATAATTCGGCTATTGGTCCGTTGGTTCAAGAACATGATCTGGTAAAGATCAGGCAAGGTTTTTTCGAAGAAACCACGCATCAGGAATTTGGAACAATGATTTTTGTTACTATAATTATCTTATAATCACTGTTTTTATGGCATGTTAATTTAATGACAAACACTTATTAGTCTTCACATGAATGTACATCACAATTTAATTTATTTCATCTTCCGCCAGAAACTTAAAAAGATAATTTTTTCTCTTGTTTCATAAATTTTAACCCTATCTTCTCCGTATATAAATTTAAAATAAGTTAAAAAAAAAAACAAAATTTGTATTAAAAACCTAAATAAAAATGTATGGACAACATAAATTTAAAGAATAAATAATACGGTAAGAGATACGTTCTAATTTTATTCGAGTTTATTTTTTTTGAATGATTTTAATAATATATATTTTTTATATTGATTTGTTACATTCAGGATTTTATTCTATAAATTCCATGAGAATCGAATCATAGTATACCCATTTTTTATCTTTCTCAAAGCTTGGAAGTACCTAATAGAAGATATATAGTACTTAATTATAGCAGTAGCTAGCGATTTTCTTCATCCATAAGGGATAAAATCAAAGACATTAATTTGGGGCCTTGTTACATTTGATTTGAAATGATTCCAAATAATTTGTTGTTTCTATTTTTGTCTCAAAGAAAAAGCAGTCATGCATGCCTTCAGCACCAAAAAAAAAAAAAAGAAAGAAAAATTTTCCTTAAAACAATATGTAGAATCAGACTGAAATTCGAAGGGTTATTATCTCATGAACAATTTACCAGCAAATCATCTTTAACTGTCAACTACTTTTGCTCAATTGAATTCCCTTTTGCTACCATAATCACTCTGCATCTTTCCTATTTTTTTTCCTTGTCTATATATTTTGTTCCAATTATTTGATTTTAATTAATTAATATTAACTACATGTTTATATCTAAACATTTGATTTAATGATAAATGCATGAATTTTACGCTCAAGGAGTGAAGTTCAAATACCTCCCTTCTTCGAAATATAATAATATTAATAATAACAATAACCATTGATTATACAAATACCTAAGCTATAAGAAATGTATCAAGTTGTCTGAAGGCAAGTAATTATACCAAATATTCTTTGCCTAAATTTTTTCTTAACTTCAAATTATCTCATTCTTTGCTTTGTAATCTAGCTAATAATCTATACTTGTCTTATAATTTACTTCAATTGAGAGAAGTATTTTTCATCCAAAGGACAATCATTAAATCACTTTTTTTTTTTGGTTAATTTCATATTTGAATGTGTAATATGATACGTATTATCAATCAATGTGATGATCAAGCATATAAAATTACACCTTAATTAGGACAACTGATCAATCATATGCAGACATGTGGCAAATAATGTCATATTATGGTGTCCAAGTTATCATTTGAAAATAAAAATCATAATATTTTCTCAAAAAAACTTCCCCCCTTTTCTTTTTCTCTTTGTTTCAATCAGATTCCTAATCGGATAAATTACAAAAAGTAAATTTCTAATCGAATTTTTTTTTCCCATTTTTACAGCACCCAATCTTGTAAAAGGGAAAGTCAACAACATTTAGTGTTGGGAGGGAAGGTGAGGTGGGATTAATTTTTGGTGGCATTTTCACATGCAAAAGAGATTGCTTTCTTATCAACTTAATTTGATCACACCTCTCTCAAGGGGATTTGATTTTGGGTGTGTGTTGTTGAACAACAAACAATCACTGAATTATACATTAGGGTGACGTGGTCGAATCACTAGATTTGGTTGATAGGGTTTGGAATTGGATTAGACACTACTTTGCCTTTTCACCAGCACTTTTCCTTCCCTTAATGCTAAGAGCTGTAAATCACACTTTCCCCCATCTTTAAGTTTCTCCAATTTTCTTTCCTTGCTAGCTATAGGTTTTGAATTTTTTTTATCATTAGGTATAAATAATTCTCACATTTATCATGTATTTTTTAACTAATCATTGTTATTATCCGTAAGCAAGGACGTGTTTTACTGATTACACGTGAAATTTCGTATTTGAATCTTCTAAAATATTGATGTGGGTCAACTTTATATTGAGTTTGTCGATAAACTATATACTTATTCATTCATTGATTTATTAATATGATTAAATTAGTTTATTTTTGTATAAGATTTAATACTTAATTAGGATTAAAATTTTTCTTATACTAATAACTTCTTAAATTAACAAAATCTTGGTTACCATTGATACTTCAATTATCATAAATTTTTTAATTATTTGTAACAATATACTTTACTCACTATAAAAAAAAAATTGTATTTGAGTGAAATTATCTGAAATAATATAAAAATTATATCCAAAAATTAAGATTTATATTAATTAATTTACATATTCATTTGTGACAAAATCGAATAAATTTGAATTAAAATCATAATACTTACAATCATTTTTTCTATTTTTAAATTGCAACTTCCATAAAAATTATATCCATCAACCATAAGTCAATAATTTTACATTAAAAAATACAATAGATGCTGACCCATTTATCACGTCACTACTCACTTGAAAGTTAAATGGATTTATAAAATTTTCATTGAATTCTAGAAGTGAGCATAAATATAAATTTTTTAATTTCAACAAAATAAATATATTTTCTTTCAAATAATTATTTTCTTACTAGATTAGTAGCTTTGATAATACATTAATAAACTCACTAGACATGACTTTTTTGAAGCGGATTAGGTTCATGAGGAACAAAAAAATTACAACCATATCCTTGACTTTTTTTAATAAAAAAATTATTTCATCTATAAATTCTAAATTAATTAAAAAATAAAATATATATCGATATTTTAATTAGATTTATAAAATTAAAAAGTTCATCTAAAACGAACTTAAAATTTTTTTTTTTAAACTTTGACTTTAAAGTTAACACTGTAGAACGTAGTGAAAGCGTAAAAGCTTGACCACATCAAAGATGCCTTGTTTTAGTAGTCAACTATTACGTACGGCTAATGCATGGCGTAATACGTGGCCCGATGAATGCGGGTTAAATGGGTCCCACCGCCCTAAATCTTGGTCTTCCCTTGCCTTTGAAATTAAATTACTAAGTACATTTTAAGAAATATGTTTTGTTTGAAAATAATCTTCAAACTATGGTGTGAAACTCAGTTTTCATGACATGCATGCGATTGCTGTTTTTAATTGACCAATGTTCCATTTTGTTTTCGTTTCTATTTTTCTATTCTCAAGTTACTTTTTGTGCATGGAAAAACCTTGAAATCACATTTTTCAAAGTAGTCCAAGATTACGGTAGTGGTTAAAATCACGAATGAATTTTAAATTATAATAAAATATTTAATATAATATATAAATTTAAAATTTTTTTAATATAATAATTAAATTATAAATTTATTAATTAATATAATAATTAAAAGATTTATTATCCGTCATGTATTATTATTTGATTTTAATATATTAAAAATATATATCATATTAATTAATAAATTTATAATTCAAATATCATATTAAAAATTTTTAAAATTTAAATCTCACATTAAATATTTTATTATCGTAACATTAATTTTTTTTAATTGATACTAAATGTATTATCTTCGTAAAATCAACATCTTTTATTGAATAAATCTAATTATAATTGAATAAATTTTTTATAAGTTCATCATGGGTATCTCTAAATTTTGTTTATATCTAACCTTATTTTCACACGATTTAAAAAATGAATTTTCTTACATCGACTTAATGCATTCAAAATTTTATTTTTTAATTGCTCTCAACAAACCCAAATTGATAAAAAAAAATTCCTTTTTTACCAACTAAACTAACCTTTATGTGTATTATAATTGGTCAATGCAATATCAAGTGAATAACGTGTATTTTAATGGACAATTTGAGAAACCCCACATAATTTTACTAGTATTTCTAAAATAACAGAGACCCTTCTATTATTATTATTATTTTTTTTTTCTAGTATTATCAATCATAATGATTGGCAATATAGAAATTGAAGATTTCTTCGTCAATTAGATTATCAAATAATGAACAAGTTCTAATTTCAAACGGGGATGAATTTGTTTTTCAATTATATGTTTTCCTTAATGTATATTAAAAATTATTTAATTATGACAATAATTTTTATCATAAAGCATTACTACGAAAAATACTTTCCATTGCACTGTTGTACAACATATAATTCTTCATGTTTATGTAAAAAATTAGGGATGAAGGGCCCATAATTAGAAGCAAATATGCATTCAAGCTTGAGCAAAATATATCCGTACAGTTGTGTAGACCCCAGTTTTTCCTCCATTTCAGGCCCTCTCCCTCCTTTCCTAGTCCAAAAATTCAAAAGAATAAAACAACAAAAAAGGAGAGATTTTGTTGGGAGCAACAACTAGGCAAGAAACTGTACATGATGGCACAACTTGTAACTAAAGCAAAGCAATTTCATATCAGCCTTGGGGGGCTGACTGACTGGCTGGCTGGCTGGCAGGCAGCAAGCCTCTTTTTTGTCCTACATTATAATTCCACTCCATAACCCAACCTTTGTTCATTTAGGATTAATTTAGCATTGACATTACATTCAAAAGAATTTGAGTTAAAAAAATATGTTTCTTTTAAAAATATAATTAAAAAGTAAGGTAAAATTTTAAGGGTTTAGTTTGTGAATATGGTTGAACTCAAATAGAATTGCCGCCAAGATAAAAAAGTTAAAGAGGAAATTCCTCTGCCGTAATTAGCCAGAGAGCAAAACTGCACTAATTGAGGAGATAATGATAATCTTGGATCTACAAAATTTTCCACTTTTTTGACAATGTTGCTGGCTTTCCTTTTTTCTCTCCATAAATACCTGTCCACACTCTACCTTCTCTTCACCACTCCTAACCCTTCAAACCTCAAGCTTCCCCTATCTCTTTAGTCAAAACAACATGGCAATTTGGGTTGTTACTTGTTTGGTTTCTTTGCCTCTCATTTTGGTAGCTGTTGAGGCTAGAATTCCTGGTGTTTACTCTGGTGGTGCTTGGCAAACTGCCCATGCCACTTTCTATGGTGGCAGTGATGCTTCTGGGACAATGGGTACTTTTACACTAAAATTCTCTTCTTTTTACCTCTTGAATTGACATTTTAAAACTTCACAATCCATTCTTCTTGCGCTTCTTTGGTTTAAGAAAACCATTTTTTTACACTTCAAACTCTGCCTCCGGTTGCATTTTCCCTTCAAAGTACAACAAACCAAAGAAGTTTTGAACTTTTGCAAATTAAACCAAGAAAATGCTTTAAACCCAGTTTTAATTCTCAAAACCTGGATGATTTCAACTATTTATCTGATATTTTCTCTATGTTAATAATCTTTCAGGAGGAGCTTGTGGTTATGGAAACCTATACAGCCAAGGCTATGGAGTTAACACAGCAGCTTTAAGCACTGCTCTTTTCAACAATGGATTCAGCTGCGGTGCCTGTTTTGAGATCAAATGTGCAAATGATCCACAATGGTGCCATTCTGGTAGCCCTTCAATTTTGGTCACTGCAACCAACTTTTGCCCTCCAAATTATGCTCTTCCTAATGACAATGGTGGTTGGTGCAATCCTCCTCGTCCTCACTTTGATCTTGCCATGCCCATGTTCCTTAAAATTGCCGAGTATCGTGCTGGAATTGTCCCTGTCTCTTACCGCAGGTAAGGAAAAAAAAACCCACACTTTTTCCCGCGTAATTCACACGATTCCCGGGAAACAAATAGAATCCAAAAAAAGATAAAGACCCAATCTTCACTTCTTCTTTGAAGTTCATGGATAAATATTTCCTTTTTTGAATTATCCCAGGGTGCCATGTCGGAAACAAGGAGGAATGAGATTCACAATCAACGGTTTCCGTTACTTCAACTTGGTCCTAATCACTAACGTGGCAGGCGCTGGTGACATCGTGAAGGCAAGCGTGAAAGGTTCGAAAACAGGGTGGATGAGCCTGGGCCGAAACTGGGGCCAAAACTGGCAATCCAATGCCGTTTTGGTTGGCCAATCTCTTTCTTTTAGGGTCACTGGCAGTGATCGTAGGACTTCTACTTCATGGAACATTGTCCCTTCGAATTGGCAGTTTGGTCAAACCTTCACTGGCAAAAATTTCAGGGTCTAATCTAATTTTATAATGGGAGTTTTTGGACTTTAATATGTTAGTTTTATTTTCCTGGGAAAGTGAGGGAAAATGTGTGGTTAAAACTGTTTTGACAGTGGGGAAATGGGGGTTCTTTTGGCTAATTAGTAATGGGTTTTTAGTTTTTATAATTTTCTTTTTGGGTGAAAGGGTAAAGCTACAAAAGTGGAAATGTAATGGGGGCTGAAGTGGCTTGGAAAGACTTTGTAGCCCGCAGCTTTGATACTCCTTTTTTAATATATATTTAATTTAATGAAAGAAGTGTTTTAATTTACCATATTAGTATGTTTTTCTTGTGTATTTTTTTTATTATTATTATTAGAGATTGCTTGAAATTTAAGATTTCAATATTATTTTTTTTTTGTGCTTTCCATTTTGGAAAATAAGGGGACGTGTAAAAGCAAAAAACAGATAAGTAAACCTTAATAAGAACTTGAACACCTGACCAGAGATGAGACAACATCCAAAATCTTATGCTGTTATGAAATAGCAACCCCATGAAGGCAGTTGACAAAAGGGAACACAAGAAACTTGTTTTTCTGGCATGAATGATCTGTTTGATAGCCACATTGCAATAAATATGTGGTATTTATTTAATGAAATAGCTGCTGTTAAGTTACTAGGTACACTTTCTTTTACGTTTATGAGTCTTCAGTTGCTTGATTATGTACTGAATTACTTCTTTCATGGTGGCTCTCCTTCCCTCCTTTAAGTTCCATATCTCAGGGACTGCATATCTTCCACTTGCATTATATTCATTCATTTCCATCAGTGCAGTGCTGACAGCCTCAAATGCAACCTCACCATATTCATTTCTCAACTCTTTCAGCTTCTCGTCGTCTTCATCTACCACTTCCTGCATCACCCCACAAAAAGTTCTACACATAATGTAACAAGGAATTTGTTAAAATTTTTATTTCAAAGCATTAGAAATAAGTCATCCTCTGCATATATAAATGCTTAGTCTCATCTGACAGCTAAAAATAACTCTCTTCCATGTATTTATCCCATATTTTCACAACATATTTGGAACATTTAGAACAACAGATTTTCTGCCTCCGTCTGGCAATGAGGAAAGGTCTTGGATGGTTCCATCCCTAATTGGATAATGGTGAATGTAAATTTTTGTTGCCAATCCTTCTTCGAAAGTTAGTAGCTACTACTTGTGTTGATTCCAGAAATAAGCATCATTTCAACCAATAATGGGTATTACTGTGAGCAAATGAAAGTTATGCTAAAAGAGTCCAGCCAATGTTTCCCGTAATTGATATTTTCAAGTAATGCCAAGTGCCAAAAAGGCAAAAACACATGGATTTTATAGGTGCAGTTGGTGTATGTACATGCCTGCAAGTTGCCTTTGAAAAGGATCCTCTTCAATGGGTGCCATTTTGGATCCTGCACATTCTGTTCCCATGATGAACATACTTTAGCACATATTTCCTGCCAATCTTCATTAGGGAACTTCAGTGAGCAAGCAAACTCAAAAGCTTTTTGATTAATCTCTCCCATTCTTTTGACTCCAAGAGTAGTTCTGCTATTCAACATATCTTTCAAACCCTGCAATTCAAGAACCAGGAAATATTTCATTGACCACCTTGCAGTTTATGCCTAATTTTGAAGAGGGATTCATGGTCCGAAAGAAACAAAACAGTGGAGGAGAGAGAAGAGAAATGTGGATACATTTATCGATTCTTTACGAGCATCTTGGAGCTCTTGATTAGTTAAGTTGTGTTTCACTGCTAGATAATTGTAACGGCTTTCTAGATCTTGCAATGCCTCTGATTTTTCCTCCAACTCTTTCCTTAGAGCAGCAATCTGAGAACTTGAAATCTTTTCAACTTCAACAACATTTTGACAAGGCAAATTCTCTTTCAGCTGAGCACTTGAAGTTTTGTCGACTTCAACAACATTTTGACATGGCAAATTCTCTTTCAGCTGCATCAGATATAATCCAAATTGTTAAATCAACTGGGCAAATGATAACCATTAAAATTGTTGAACCTAAATACTAGAACAAGATTCATTTATGTTAAGGTGAAACAGATGACTGCAGGCTTGTCTGTGTATATCTACAAAAGATAGTTCATATATCTAAAATGAAAATTAAGACAAAGTATGCTAACCACTTCCATTTCAATCAACAACCTTCTTCGTTCCCGATCATTATGGGATTTACACTCTTCCGTTTCCTCAGTTTGCCAGCTAAGTTCACACTTCAGCTTAACATTTTCAGACTTCACCTTTCTAATTTCTGGGTAAAAAAAAAAGAGTATGAGAAAACATGTGGGAAAAGCTTTAAGGAAACATTGTAAATAGGTAATGAAGGTGGTAAAAAATAAATGTGTGCCACTTGACAATATGATATCTGGATTTTATTTTGTCATCGGTCTAAAGATTGATTTATAGATTAATCCATCACAAAAATCGTTCAACTAATACAAACTAAAGAAACATAATCACATTAAAATATCTAAGAACATGTGGCATGCAATGCTTATCAGTTATCATAAAAGCATTAGCAACAGTCCAAAAATCAGGAATTTCTGGAAACTAAATACTTATCTTTTTTGATAGAATGGAACTCAAATATTAACTTCCAAACATTGGCTAATTTTCACAAGTTTAGGCCGATGCAAGGATTCAGAGAGGTGCTTTTATTCAGGTTTCAAGCTTCATATGGCCAAAGTGTTATCTGGGTCCAAGTACCATAAATTTCTCTATGCTTAAACTTATTCACCTGAATTCCTATATAGCATGCTTGAACTGTTAGCTCATATTATTTCATCCAGCAATAACAGATAAAATGGAAAGCAAAGACAACCTTCCTTCTAAAAGTTGTAAAGCAAATCTCATTATTAGGGAACAACATGTAAAAATTAGCATAATATGATTGAGTGTAAAATTACATAGATCAATCAAGCTCTAGATGCAAACTCTATGATTTCAAAGAACTCAGAGTTTAGCTTGGTTGGTTCATGTGGTCAACATCCAAATGATTCAATGCTTCAAATCTCAATACCCGCAACCCGTTCCTTTATCTCCAGCCCCCTTTGTAAGAAAAAAAAAAAAAAAAACCATACAAATGATTCAATGTATAGTATTATGCTCACTACATATGCATATAATTTAAAGTACCTTCAACAAATTCATCACGCAACACAGTGTTCTCATCCATCAGCTGTCTTACAGTTGTGTTATATCTAAGCTCCCAATCCCTTAAACAACTGTCCTGGGAGTTAATTTTTGCTAGTAGGCCATCGACAAGACCTCGAAGAGTTGCTGTTGTGTCATTATATTTATGTTCCATTTCAGACAACTGCTGATTTTTGTAATCAATCTCATGTATGAGATTCCCAACAAGCCTACGCTCTTTCTTTAGCTCCTCCTCATAGTTATGTCTCTCCATTTCAATTGAAGATTAAAGTGCCTGCAATATCAATCAAATAAATGGATTGGATTAGACTTTGAAGACACTGATTAACACTGCTCTGTTTAGAAATTTCAGACCTTAGAGGTATCTTCAAAAATTAAACAATAGCATAAGAAGCAAAAACATTTCATTACAAGAATTCAAACTCAGAAGTTTCAACTTCAAATCTTGAGATTAAAGGTGGGATTCATGGGGTATGAAATGCCTAATTTCCACATAAAAAAAAAAAAAAACCAACAAAAAGAGAAGAACACTCACTTTGGAACTGAAAAGCATACATGTTTTCTAGTGCAAAAATTAATGTGATACTTTGGAGCTGAAAAAACTTGAAGAACAAACTGATTGTTTGGAATAAACATCAAAAACCCAATAAAAGAGAAGAAAGGCACTACCTTTAGGAAGGTAGAAATGGCTAAGGCCTAAGTCACATAAAAAAATGTATTTTTTTCTCTTGCACAAGTGAAATGTGGCCATTTTTGCTAACATGGAAACTTCAAATGTAAATAAGTAAATAAAGAATCTAACAAATTCAACAAAATTGGCAAACATGAGAGAAAACAAAATTGTTAAAATTTACACAATCATGGGGTAAAAATGGGTTTAACCTCTTCTTTCTTCTTCTTTTTGCTTCTGTAGAATTAGAAGGATTTAACCTCTTCAAAGTTCAGGTTTTTGTTTTTGTGCAACCAAATGCAGCTCCCAGAGGCAACAGGCATAGAAGCCACATTTTTTGTACGGCAAAAAACATAAAAAAAGGGTGGCACTGGTACGATTATTACAGCCAAGTGGCATTGCTAGAAATGACCAAGATATCAAGGATGACACGTGGCTGCTTTTCAAGTCGTGTATATTTTGATGGTCACACTTTATGGGCCAGCTGTACTCTGTTTTTTTTTTTTTTTCTTTTTGTTTGTTTCCCGAGAAACAGAGAGGGTGGCTTCTGTCTTCTGTTTTTGTTTACCTTCTCTTTAATAGCTTGATTTTGTCCTATGTAGCAACAATTGGGGCCGTAAATGCTGTATCTTCCAAGCATTATTGTCATCTCTTTACCAAGTTCTTTCGTGTAAGTAAGATCAATCTATGGCTTTTGGTTTTGTGATTTTCTTAGTATTATTGTTGTCGATTAAAAAACATGAAATAAGGCTCCTAATGCCATAAATTTGCTTAATTGATGAACTCGATATTTGTTTTGAATAAGTAGATTGAAGGCATCTCTTTGATTTTTGCTCAAACTGTCAAAATCATAGCGCATTAGAAATGGTAAATGGTTTCATTTCATTCTAATATGGATGCCAATTGCCAATCATTCCCACAAATGCCCACACTTACAAATTCATGTATTTTGTTCATACAAAATCTTTCCAATGGCAATGAGCATTCCTCAAAGTCAAGGTGAGGTTTATAAAAGATGAGATTACATTGAAAATTTTCATCCCAAATGGGTAAAAGAAAGGAAAATTCTCTGGCAAAGATGGATTCAAAGTGACAAATGACAAACATTAGAATTTCCAATTGGAAAGACAAATACTTGAAATTTTGGTCATATGAACCTCTTCCAAAGCAAAATTTGATTCAAGGATGGGAAACCCTTTTCCTTCCCAGTACAAATTGGTTCATGCAAAATCTCAACATGCTGTAGCTTCCATGGGAGTTCCATTAAAAAAGGAAGATGTTCTACCATAACAGAAATATCTCAATTACAATCTTCTTTCAGGTCCTTTCTATTCAAATTCATTCTTCAATGGTACCAACTTCCAATTCACCCTAGAGCATTTAGTAATTAAATTCTGGTAAACAGAAGATCAGCACTTTAGCACTATGTATAGAAATTTTAGTCAAGATCACATTGTCCAAATACACAGCTTTATTGAAAAGAAAGAAAGATCAAAGGGTTAGACTACAAAGTGAAAAGAGATATAAAACATGCGTCAATTTCTACACAAAAGCCTGAATATTCAGCATTCATCAAGCACATATTTTGCAGTAAGCATATAGCAAGCACCTTAGAGTTTAATCATAAAAAAGATCTCTTGTTCTTTTTCAAAACCAAAATTTTCTAATCTCTCATTAGCCAACCATGATTTTCAAGAGAAATTATTTGATCAATGATTCACAACCCAATTATAAAGATATCCCCTATGAACAAATTTTAACTCTGAAAATGAAACGCTCCTTTAAACATAAATACAAGTGGTTAATCTTTACTACCAAGTACCAAATATCAAAGTTCTATGGTTATATGGAACTACAATGGAAAAAGCAGAAGCTAATTCAGCAAACTCTGACAGCAAAAACTAGCTCAATTCTAAATAATAGGTATTCAGGTATCACTGTTCAAGAGAGTAAAACAGAGGAAACCCAGACGAAAACTCTAAACTGCAATCTGAAGTTAAAAAACCCCATGAAGCTGAACATCAGACCAAGCATAAAAAAGAGAAGAGAACGAGAAATAGATGGACACCAACCTGTAAAACTTGTAAAATTTCAGGGAAAAATATCAGAAAAAAGCTGAAATGAGCAAAACCCATGACTATTAACATCAAACTAAGCCCAACCCATGAAGATGAACATTAAACTAAGTATAAAAATACAAAGAAAACAGAGAAAGAGAGGGAAGCAGACCTGCAAAAATTCAGGGAATGAGCACAACCCATGAAGATAATATTAAACACAAAGAAAACAGAGAAAGAGAAGGAAGCAGACCTGTAAAAATTCAGGGAAAAAGTTTGAAAACAGATCTAAATTGCAATCTGAAGTTAGAAAAACCCATGAAGCTGAACATCAGACCAAGCATAAAAATGCAAAGAGAACGAGAAAGAGATGTAAACAAACCTGTAAAACTGAAAAGAATCAGAAAAAAGCTGAAATTAGCAAAAACCATGAGTATTAACATCAAACTAAGCACAACCCAAGAAGATGAATATCAAATTAAGCATAAAAATACAAAGAAAACAGAGAAAGAGAGGGAAGCAGACCTGCAAAAATTCAGGGACAAAGTTTGAAAACATTTGACAAAAAATTTGGACCATTTCTCGATTTATGCGTGTCATCCTTGCGCAGGGGCCATGCTAATCTTCTCTGTATTGTTCCAATTTTATCGGATATCCCCGAAGAGACAACGAGGTTCTCCTTCTTTCTGCTATATAAAAGCTTTTATTCTTCTATTCCTAATAAATGTGGGATATGTCGTTGGTTTGCAACTGAAAGTTGAACTAACTAGTTTAACTCATAATGACGAAAGCCTAACACGTGGGCTGGTTGAGTCTTTCGGGTGATACAAAACCATGGGCTTTTGGTATTGACACCCTGAAAGTCTTACGAACCGCGCGAGTCTTAGATCAAGAAGGTTGTGCAACGGAATTTACTTGAGATGGTGCGAGCAAAACACCATAAAGGATCAAAATCGAGACCGCGAAGACATGCATTACCCAAGTGTGCAGGCTAAGGTCAAGCCCGAAGTGCAAGAGTACACTCGAGATGAGCTGCACGGTATCAAGCATGAAGATTGCTCGTTGAAAGATTCTAAAAAGCCTCAGAATGTGGCGTGGGTAATCAAGCACCGAAGAGTCTAAACCAACCTGAAGACAGCCCGAGTGTCATTGTCAGGTCTTGGTGTGTTATGGTCCTGTCATGATTGATCCTGAACTGAGTAGCGATCGAGATTGAAATTAAGCTGACGTGAAAATGATTTTAAGAGATGCGGATGTACATTTGGAGCATTGGAACATGTTACTAATAAGTTGTGCGAGCAGTGGGAGCTCTGGTCCGTAAGATACGCGAGTAAGTTCGGGACAATGGTTAAGCACCTTCAAGTCAAAGTAGTCCGAAGAGTGCCATCAGTGGAAGCAGTGTGCAGACATTTTGAGCATGGGAAGGGGATATTGTGCGTGGATAGTTTGAGCCCTAAACCCTAAAATATGTAGGTAAGTGTGTGACAGTGTGCCGGTGCCCTGAGACTAATTAGTCCAGTCAGGTGCTGTTGGTCGAACCCATGTGCGGGCACCTTCGAGTGGGTTGGTGGAGCAACAAGCAAAATCAAGGAATAGTAGTGACCAAAAGGAAGGTTACGGGACCCTGAGTTAGCCGGATAAAGGCCTTGAGGTAGCTGGAGAGAAAAGTGTCTCTATTTCAGATAATCTTACGGTCACTGGTAGGAGACTGAAAAAATCTTTTACGCTCTTTATAAGGGATGACTGGTGTCAGCTCTCCACCACCCTCTTAGCTAGCGGTCAAGCAGGGGCCTGGCTAGTCTGAAGTGAGCTACTCCTAAGCATTAGTGATGTCTAGGTGGGCGGGTATCGTAGGGTCACGAGCGTTGCACGATGTTTCCTCGGGTCATGGTAAACTCGAGGACGGTTAGGGCCGACGGGCCTCATATCGTGCATTTACGTTAAGCCATGGGGTTACACGGTAGAGTTTGCTATGCCTCTCGATTTTCTTTCCTTGAGTCGGAAGGATTATGAGATGATGTTTACGTAGAAGGGACGCCATCGAGCCTGAGGGATATGCGGGCTAGCAGGCAGGCATGCTGCTAAACCCTTGTAGACAATCGATAGACGTGTGCTGCAGCTGGGGCAATCCACCCAAGTTCCCTTTGTGAGATTAGCATGATGTTGGGTGTCAATCATACGTGCGGACAGTTTACATAGAAGCTAAGGGCCTAAGCCCTAAGAACTGAGTCACATGAGATGAAATGAGCCTAAAGTCTTCGAGCTGACTGTTGACCAGTATTAATATTGTGTAAACTTGATACGAGAGCTTGCGTACGATACGGGGTGGACATGATGTTGGATTCTCATCATATCAAGATATAATATCATGATTAGTTGTGCCCCTACGAATATTTCAGGATCAGTGCTCGAGACCTTAAGCCGTGCGAGTAAAAATGAATGTTCGAAATCACTTTAAATATCGTAGATTGATGAGTGATAGAAGTTGAATTTCTCTTTACGAGCAACTCTACAATATCAAAACTAAAAATTTTTTTTGAATAAGCGACTCGAAGAATCGAAATTAAACTGTTAAAAAAAAATTAGACTCGAAGAAAAATTGATCTTGACTACGAGTACTTTTGATGCCATACGGACGCTTAGTTTCTGAATGAGAAACGCGCGGACCGTGACACCAAGCGTGCTGGCATAAAAGGATCTAGAGAAGCTTGGAGGCAGACCAGGTCTGCAGACACGGAAGAGTCTAGAGATGCCTGGAACAGGTCAAAGGTTCCAGAAGGGCTAGGGACGAGCACTGTGGTAGGCATTATAGCGCCCAGTAGAGGAAAACTTTAAAAGGTCCTAGCTATAGGCAAAGTGACGTCCAGATGGAGAAAGCTCTGAAACCCGCTAAGATCAGGTGGGAGTGTCTGAACTCTTTCGAATCCGAGGCTCAGCAAAGAACCTAAAACCAGTAGATTTCTAGAGAGGTCTTAGTAGACTCTATTGGAGCCTAGGCACCCTAAAACTGTCCACAAGGCTTATAATGACCGTACACTTGAATTCATTATAATCACAAATATCATGAGGACTCAATGATAAATTAAATACCCTTCTCCTCATTTGTACATAAGCATAATACGAGAAGTAAGAGTGAGAAGCCACAAGCTAGACGAGACATCAGGAACTTAGACCTTGAGAGACGTTGTAGAGAACACATTGAGACTGTATTTCACAAGTAATTGTATATATCTCTCGAGCAAATAAACTACTCTTGCTTTTAACTTCTTTCCTTCCTAACCTTTTCCCTCCTAAGAGACGAGTCGAGTTCCGGCAAAAAGTTAGGCACCGAGTCTTTGCAGACTTACATTAAGTTCTTTCAATTCTGGTACATATATCCGCAAATTAGCACTAAATAACAAGCAAATTGATGATCACTGCGTATAGAAATTCTATTCAAGATCACATTATCCAAATTGTACAGCTCTAGAGTGAATCCAAGGGTTAAAAAACCAAGTGAAACGAGAAAAATGACAAAGTCCAATTTCTAAGAAAGCCAGAATATTTAGCATTCATGAACTTTCATACCTTACATCAAAGATAAACTAGCTAGACCATACAATTTAATCATAAAAGCAGTCTTTTTTTCTTTTATCAAAACCAAAAATTTCTAATCTCTCATTCGCCGGCCCTTATCAACAAGGGTAGTTGTTCACTTGATTGCATAACCCAATTATAAACAGATTCCCTATAAATAAAATTTTAACTCTGACAATCGAAACTCTGATAGCAAAAACTATCTAAAATCTGAATAATAGATATTGAGGTATTTACTGTTTAAGAGAGTAAAACAGACCAAGCCCAGCACAACACTCTAAATTGCAATCTGAAGTGAGCAAAACCCATGAAGATGAACATCAACCTAAGCAAACAAATGCAGAGAAAACAGAGAATGAGATGTAAAAAAAAAAAAAAGAAATTCAGGGAAAATATTCGAAAAAAAATTTGAATAATTTCTCAATTTGTGCGTATCATCCTTGTGCAGGGGCCATGTTAATCTTCTCTGTATCGTATCGGATGTCCCCAAAGGGACAACAATGAGCTGCTTCTTTTTGCTCTCCTATTCCAAACTAAAGTGGGATATGTGGTTGGTTTCCAACTCAAAGTTGAACTAACTAGTTAAGTCCTAAGGAGGAAAGCCCAACACGTGGCTGGTTGGGTGGCACAAAACAAAGGGTTTATGCTAGTGGGACCCTTCAATTACTGTAAAAACCCACGCGTGGACTGTTGACGTACCGTACCGGACCGAGTATGAGACATCAATCCCCAGACAACAAATTTTACTGATTAGGCTGGAAAATTTCATAGTTGTATTAGCATTAAAAAATTAAAAACAAACCATAATAGTTTTACTCCATGGTTGAGATTGGCTTAGGTTTCGATTCAGTTTGATTAATTCATTTTTATATAATTACAACTTCAAATATTGGGTTGACTTCAGAAGTAGCAATGGTGAAAGACTAAAGGCCAAGCATAGATGGCTGTGTCACCTTCTACGTTTATTAGATTTTTGGGTCTTCAATTCTTGGATGATGCACTCAACTGCCTCTTTCAGGCTGGCTTTTCTTCCCTACTTGAAGCTCCAAAGCTCAACAACTATGTATCTCCCACTTCCATTGTACTCATTCAATACCAGCAATGCATTAGATACAGCCTTGCAAACCTCATCACCCCACTCACTTCTCAATTCCTTCAACATAATGTCGTCACAGTCATAGTTTCCTACGGAACATACAAATGGATTCAGTACATGAAAAATGAGAATCAAATTCTGCACATTAAGTATGGAGATCTGTAGCATATCATTAATCATTTCTCTATGTTATCACATCAGGTTCACTTAGTTCATCCATTCCATACATGGTTCATACCAATTTTTATGCAATCATACTGCTAATGTATCATTTATAACAGGACTTGTGTTCATATGCTTGAATATGATTGATGGGAATTCAGCTGCATTCAAATATAATTCGTAGCATTAAGGCATCAATAACACATGAAAAATTTATGGAAGAACTATCTGCAATGGCATATAACCAACACAAGTTTGCCTAGTTCATAATATCCATGCAGGCTGCAGCGATAATTAAGGTCCCTGAGGTAAAATAATCTCTTAGGCAAAGAAAAAACACCTGATACTTCCCATCTATTAGCTCCCTCTTGAAACGATACCTCTCTGGATTTGTAACAAGGCTTTGCAATAAAGAGCATAATTCAGTGGAGTTCAGCTCCCAATCTCCAGAGAACTTCCTTATGCATGCATCTTTAAAAGGTCTGGGATCAACCTCTCCCATCCTTTTAATTCCAATCTTGGTTTGAGAATTCCAAAAGTCCAGCAAACCCTATATTCCAGTAACATGAAATCAGTTCATCAATAATTTGGTGCAACCGGAATTTGACATAAGGCAAATAAAGTGGGTCAGCATTTCTCTGAATAAGATGAACTCTTACATTTATCAATTCTTTGAGAGCATGCTGCAGCTCAAGGTTACTCATACGCTCTTTAAGTATAAGAGTTGGTTTAAGTTATCCAAACATTGCAATTCATCCACCTTTTCATCCAACTCTTTTTTCAAATCATCAAGCTGTACAATCAGCGCTTAGTCACTGTTCATAGAGCTTGGAGCTTTCGACTGCCAGAGAGTTAATGCGTCAGTTTAACTTGTCACTAAGAAGAGAAAAAGAATAACCATAATTAAACAAAAATACTATGATTTGATGCAAAATAGATCATGCTGCATAGAATTTCAAGTATTTTCATTCCAGAGTGAGCAAATAATACAGTAGCTTGATTTCTTATCAGTATATTTAATGTTAGCCTCTTCACCTTTTCCTTTTGAAGCGTTAGATATTTTAGCTCTTGGTCATGTTGAGCCTCTTGCTTATCCAATCTTTAAACTGTCATCTCAAACTCATTCCTCAAAGACTCGAATTCCTGATGCAGCTTTTCACTATTTTGGCTAGCCAACTTGCTCTTCCTCTGTTCTGATAACCCATAAAATTACATATAAACAAGATGTCTTAAATATCCAACCAATATGTAAAGGAACCTGAGATAATGTTAGAATTTCAATTCTCAACCACATAGAGTGAAGAATCAAAGGATGTGAAAAGGTACAGGTAGACTACATTAAAGTGAGAGTTCCACCGCTAGTCTCATTTCATAGGTTGTATATGTTATGCACCAAGATTGGGCAGCTTGTTGCTAAGAGGCTTAGAATTAGATTACAATTTTGTGGTTTATCTGGACATGGTTTTACCATGATAACAGTTTAAACCAACATTCATAGATTTATAGCCATCCTACTATCTTGAGCCTATCATCCTCACATATGTTCATTACATGATTTTGTAACTATCAGCAGTCATAAATTGTTACAACCGAAAAGCAATTGAAATCCAAAACATGATTTATTAACCTTGAATCACACTGACTCTGGCCTACACATGCCATCACCCTAATGATAATCAACTGTTTGAATAGACCCTCTTTACCATGAGCTCTCAAGATTCAACTTCAACCCTTAGGTCAAGTATACCATGCTAGCCAACTATTAAAAACACATGTCTCCTTCTGGTCATTACTTTTTGCTACTTGCCTTTTACATCCCAAAAAATCACTACATAGAAAAATAAAAAACATACCATCAACAACAACATAGTAATTAGAACATGTAAAAATAGAACCATACATTTTTTTATCCGAAAAATTACATTTGAAACATTGAATTCTTGAAAAAATATATATATTTTTTTGCTTCTAGAAGCAATCCACAAAAATAGAAACCAAACCAAGTTAATGCGTTGGGGCCAAACCAAATCCTAAAAACCAATTCATCACGAAGTATAAAATTGGGATACTGGGGACCCTTAACTCTAAAAAATGAACGAGTCATGTTGAAGTTCAAAACTGATAAGCTAACCTTCAATATATTCTTGATGTAGCCTTGTTTGTTCTGCCTTCATTTTACTAAGAGCTTCAGAAACCTCATCCAACTTGAATCCCATTTCTAACAGTTTTCCATTGCAAATAAATTTTTAAAGCAACTAAAGTTAGAAATTTATAAAAAAAAAAAAAAAAAAACCCTTTACTTTAGAATTAAAATAATCATGTTAATTCCAAGGAACCTTTTTTTGGTTGTCTTTTCTTCTTTAATAATTAAGGGAAGTTTTTTTTTTTCATTCTTGTTTTGGAATTGCTAAAGGAAGAAAGAGGTAAGAGAAAATGCATGCAAAAAAAAGTTGAAGCCTTGAAATAAATTAAACAAAAAAATAAATAAAGACTTGCCTTAACAGTAAAGTACCCAATGAAGAAGACGAGTCAAAAGGGTCAGGGACTAAAGTGTTTTTTTTTTTTTTTTAATGCTGGAAATAACCGTGAAGGGCTGCAAGTTCGGGTCGACCCGGACCAAGTGAAATGATCTAATACTCTAATTAATTAATTATGTTTTATTTTATTAAAAACAAGAAATGTAGAATTAAGAAAAAGAATTTTTTTATGAAGAATTGAAAATGTTGATGACTTTTTATAATACTAGAAAAACCTCCCAAACAAATTATTTTTTAAGTATAAATTAAAATTTTTGAAAATAATTATTTTAAATTATTTCTTTTTTCTTTTACAGGATGTTTAATTTTTCTTTCATTGAAAGATCCAAACATTTAAATTTCATTTTAAAATATAAATTTATAACATTAATATGTAATCTTAACAGCAATTTTTTATAAAAAAGAATAATATTTGTTAAAAAAAGATTTAAGAATAAAATCCAATAAAAAAACAAGACATGAAAGTTGAAAATCATAAGAAAAAATTATATATCCTATTTTGTTGTTAAGACCCAAACGCCCAAAGAGCTTAAAACCCTTTTTATTAACGTCAAGACAAAAAAAAATTAATGTTTAAAAAAATGTAAAAAAATGTGAAGAAATGTAATGAGAAAATTTAGCAATGAAATCCTAAATGCGCTTTATGTCACACTTTTCTTTTAAATAACCGACAAAAAGCAGCCATGAAAATCCTGGATGCTTAAACTTTGAAGAGGGATTCGTGCACCGAAAGAAACAAAACAGTGCAGGGGAGAGAAGAGAAATGTGGATACATTTATCGATTCTTTATCTCAAGCTATGGCCTCCTTTCTACCAAAAAAAATCATACCATTTTTATTGTACAATGTATAGTATTTTGATCACTACATATGCATATAACTTAACGTACCTTCAACAAATTCATCACGCAACACAGTCTCTTATCCGTCAGCTGTCTCAGAGTTGTGTTATATCTAAGCTCCCAATCCCGCAAACAACTGTCCTGGGAGTTAATTTTTGCTATTAGGCCATCGACAAGTCCTCGAAGAGTTGCAGTTGTGTCATCATATTTATGTTCCATTTCAGACAACTGCCGATTTTTGTAATCAATCTCATGTATGAGATTCCCAACAAGCCTACGCTCTTTCTTTACCTCCTCCTCGTAGTTATGTCTCTCCATTTCAATTGAAGATTAAAGTGCTTGCAATATCAATCAAACGAATGGATTAGATTAGACTCTGAAGACACTGATTAACACTGCTCTGATTGGAAATTTCAGACCTTAGAGCTATCTTCAAAAATTAAACAATAGCATACGAAGCAAAGACATCTCATTACAAGAATTCAAACTCAGAAGTATCAACTTAAATCTTGAGATTAAAGGTGGGATTTATGGGGTATGAAATGCCTAATTTCCATATAAAAAAAACCAATAAAAAGAGAAGAAAAACACTCACTTTTGGACTGAAAAAGCATACATGTTTTCAGTGCAAAAATTAATGTGAACTTTTGGAGCTGAAAAGCATGAAGAACAAACTGATTATTTGGAACAAACATTCAAAAACCCAATAAAAGAGAAGAAAGGCCCATTACCTTAGGAAAGTAGGAAATGGCTAAGGCCTATGGCATATACAAAAAAAAATGTATTTTTTCTCTTGGGCAGCAAGTGAAATGTGGCCAATTTTTGCTAAACATGGAAACTTTCAAATGTAAAATTAAGTCAAATAAAGAATCTTACAATTCAACAAATTGGCAAACATAGAGAGAAAACAAAATTGTTAAAATTTACACAATCTTGGGGTAAAATTGGGTTTAACCTCTTCTTTCTTCTTCTTTTTGCTGTAGAGTTAGAAGGATTTAACCTCTTCAAAGTTCAGGTTTTTGTTTTTGTTTTTGTGCAAGGAAATGCAGCTCCAGGAGGCAACAAGCATGGAAGCTATGTTTTTTGTACGGTAAAAGAACGTAATAAAAGGGTTGCACTGGTACTATTCTTACAGCCAAGTGACATTGCTAAAAATGACCAAGATATCAAGAATGACACGTGGCTGCTTTTCAAGTCATGTGTATATTTGTATGGTCTCACTTTATGGGCCAACTGTATTATAGTTTTTTTTTTTCCTTTTTGTTTGTTTCTCGAGAAAAAGAGGGGATGGCTTCTGTTTTCTGTTTTTGTTTCCTTTCTATTTAATAGCTTGATTTTGTCCTATGTAGCAACATTTGGGGCCAAAAATGCTGTATCTTCCAAGCATTATTGTCATCTCTTTACCAAGTTCTTTCATGGAAGTAAAATCAATCTATGACTTTTGGTTTTGTGATTTTCTCAGTATAATTTTTGTCAATTAAATAAGCTACTTTCTTAGTATTATTGTTTTCGATTAAAAAACATGAAATAAGGCTCCAAATGCCATAAATTTGCCTAATTGATGAACTTGATATTTGTTTAGAATAAGTAAATTGAAGGCATCTCTTTGCTTTTTGCTCAAACTGTCAAAATCATAGTACTTTGGAAATGGTAAATGGTTTCATTTCATTCTAATACGGATGCCAATTGCCAATCATTCCCACAATTGCCCACACTTACAAATTCATGCATTTTGTTCATACAAACTCTTTCCAATGGCAATGAGCATTCCTCAAGGTCTAGGTGAGGCTTATAAAAGATGAGATTACACTGAAAATTTTCATCAATTAAGCCATTTCTTGCCTATAAGCATCCCAAATGGGTAAAACAAAGGAAAATTCTCTGGCAAATATGGATTCAAAGTGACAAATGACAAACATTAGAATTTCCAATTGGAAAGACAAATACTTGAAATTTTGGTCATATAAACCTCTTCCAAAGCAAAGTTTGATTCAAGGATGGGAAACCCTTTTCCTTCCCAGTACATATTGGTTCATGCAAAATCTCAACATGCTGTAGCTTCCACGGGAGTTCCATTAAAAAAGGAAGAATGTTCTACCATAACAGCAATATCTCAATTAGAATCTTCTTTCAGGTCCTTGCTATTCAAATTCATTCTTCAATGGTACCAAATTCCAATTCACCCTGCAGCATTTAGTACTTCAATTCTGGTAAACAGAAGATCACCACTTTAGCACCATGTATAGAAATTCTAGTCAAGATCACATTGTCCAAATGCACAACTTTATTGAATAGACAGAAAGATCAAAGGGTTAGACTACACAGTGAAAAGAGATATAAAAGATGAGTTCAATTTCTACACAAAAGGCTGAATATTCAGTATTCATCAAGCACATATTTTGCAGCAAGCATAAAGCAAGCACCTTAGAGTTTAATCATAAAAAAGATCTCTTGTTCTTTTTCAAAACCAAAATTTTCTAGTCTCTCATTGGCCAACCATAATTTTCAAGAGAAATTATTTGATCAATGATTCGACAACCCAATTATAAAGATATCCCCTATGAACAAATTTTAACTCTGGAAATGAAATGCTCCTTTAAACATAAATACAAGTAGTTAATCTTTACCATTAAATACCAAATATCAAAGTTCTATAGTTATATGGAACTACAACGGAAAAAGCAGAAGCTAATTCAGCAAACTCTGTCAGCAAAAACTAGCTCCATTCTAAATAATAGGTATTCAGGTATTAACTGTTCAAGAGAGTAAAACGGAGGAAACCCAGACGAAAACTCTAAATTGCAATCTGAAGTTAGAAAAATCCATGAAGCTGAACATCAGACCAAGCATAAAAATACGAAGAGAATGAGAAACAGATGGAAACAAACCTGTAAAACTTGTAAAATTTCAGGGAAAAATATCAGAAAAAAGCTGAAATGAGCAAAACCCATGGATATTAACATCAAACTAAGCACAACCCATGAAGATGAACATCAAACTAAGTACAAAAATACAAAGAAAACGGCAAAAGAGAGGGAAGCAGACCTGCAAAAATTCAGGGAATAAGCACAACCCATAAAGATGAATATCAAACTAAGCACAAAAATACAAAGAAAACAGAGAAAGAGAAGGAAGCAGACCAGCAAAAATTCAGGGAAAAAGTGTGGAAAGCAAAAATTCAGGAAAAAGGTTTGAAAACAGATCTAAATTGCAATCTGAAGTTAGAAAACCCCGTGAAGCTGAACATCAGACCAAGCATAAAAGTGCAAAGAGAACGAGAAAGAGATGGAAAAAAACTTGTAAAATTTCAGAGAAAAAAATCAGAAAAAAGCTGAAATGAGCAAAACCCATGAATATTAATATCAAACTAAGCACAAACCATTAAGATGAACATCAAATTAAGCATAAAAATACAAAGAAAACATAGAAAGAGAGGGAAGCAGACCTGCAAAAATTCAGGGACTAAGCACAACCCATGAAGATGAACGTTAGACTAAGCATAAAAATACAAAAAAAAAAACAGAGAAAACAGAGAAAGAGAGGGAAGCAGGCATTCAAAAATTCAGAAAAAAAATTTGGACCATTTCTCGATTTGTGCGTGTCATCCTTGCGCAGGGGCCATGCTAATCTTCTCTGTATCGTTCCAATTTTATCGGATGTCCCCGAAGGGACAACCACAGTCAGATGCTTTCTGCTATATAAAAGCTTTTACTCTTCTATTCCTAACTAATGTGGGATATGTGGAAAGTCCAACAAGAGTGCTGGTCAAGTCTTTTGGGTGGCACAAAACCATGGGCTTTTGGTATTGGCACCCTGAAAGCACATCCTCAATGATTCCAAATTTCTAATTTATCCTGCAACATTAAGTTCCTTCAATGCTGGTAAATATATCAGAAAATTAGCACTAAATGACAAGCAAATTGATAATCGCTGTGTACAGAAATTCTATTCAATATCACATTGTCCAAATTGCACAGCTTTAGAACGATTTTAAGGGTTAAAAAACCAAGTGATATGAGAAAAATGACAATGTCCAATTTCTACACAAAGCCAGAATATTTAGCATTCATTAAGTTTATACTTTACATCAAGAACAAACCAGCTAGCACCCTACAATTTAATCCTAAAAATTAAAAATGTCTCTTTTTCTTTGTCAAAACAAAATTTTCCAATCTCTCATTGGCCAACCCTGATCAACAAGGGCAATTATTTGTTTAAATGATTGCATAACCCAATTATAAATAGATTCCCTGTGGATAAAATTTTAACTCTTGACTATCAAAGGACCCTTTAAAGTTGGAACATAAACAAGTACATGTAGGTGATGTACTCTCTTCTATCAACTGCAAATTCCAGAGCTATATTGAACTTACAATGTGAAAAGAAGAAACTAATTCAGCAAACTCTGACAGCAAAAACTATCTAAAATCTGAATAATAGATATTGAGGTTTTCACTGTTTAAGAGACTAAAACAGATCAAACGCAGGGAAAAAACTTATAATGTCAATCTGAAGTGAGCAAAACCCATGAAGATGAACATCAAACAAACCATAAAAATGCAAAATTCATTGTTGAAGAGAGTAAAACAGACCAAACCTAGCACAACACTCTAAATTGCAATCTGAAGTGAGCAAAACCTATGAAGACGAATATCAAACTAAGCATAAAAACGTAAAGAAAACAGAGAAAGAGATGGAAACTGACATACAAAAATTCAGGTAAGGGCAAAGGTTGAAACAAATTTTGGCACAACACTCTAAATTGCAATCTGAAGTGAGCAAAACTCATGAAGATGAACATCAAACTAAGCATAAAAATGCAAATAAAACAGAGAAAGAGATGGAAACTGATCTGCAAAAATTCAGAAGAAAACAGAGAAAGAAATGGAAACTGATCTGCAAAAATTCAGGTCAGGGAAAAAGTTTGAAAAAAATTTGGACCATTTCTCGATTTGTGCGTGTCATCCTTGCGCAGGGGCCATGCTAATCTTCTCTGTATCGTTCCAATTTTATCGGATGTCCCCGAAGGGACAAGCAGAGGATACTGCTTTCTCATATATAAAAGCTTTTACTATTCTATTCCAAATCAATATGGGATATGTGGTTGGCTTCCAACTAAAAGTTTAATCAACTAGCTCAAGTCATAGTGAGTAAAGCCCAACACGTGGGCTGGTTGAGTCTTTTCTGGGTGGCAGTATGGAATGGGCTTTTGGTAATGAGATACTTTCAATTCATATAAAAACCCACATGTGGACTGTTGACGTGTATCAATCTGATGAACGGGACCGAGTACGAGACATCAATCCCAGCTGAAATAAATTTTACTGGGAAAATTTCATAGTTGTATTAACGTTAAAAAGTTAAAAACAAATCAAAATAACTTTACTCCACGGTTGAGATTGGCTTGGGTTTCGATTCAGTTTGATTAATTCATTTTTACATAATTACAACTTCAAATATTGGGTTGATTTCAGAAGTAGCAATGGTGAAAGACTAAAGACCAAGCATAGATGGCAATGTCACCTTGTTTATGAGATTTTTGGGTCTTTCATTCCTGGAGGATGCACTCAACTCCCTCTTTCAGGCTGGCTTTTCTTCCCTCTTTGAAGTTCCAAAGCTCGAGAACTATGTATCTCCCACTTCCATTGTACTCATTCATTTCCAGCAACGCATTAGATACAGCCTTGCAAACCACATCACCACACTCACTTCTCGATTCCTTCAACATAATATCTTCACAGTTGATAGTTTACTACAGAACATACAAATGGATTCAGTAAATGAAAAATGAGAATCAAATTCTGCACATTAAGCATGGAGATCTCTAGCATATCATTAATCATTTCTTCATGTTATCACATCAAGTTCACTTAGTTCATCCGTGCCATATATGGTTCATACCAATTTTTATGTAATCATACTGCTAATTAATGCATCATTTATAACAGGACTTGTGTTCATATGCTTGAAGATGATTGATGGGAATTCAGCTGCATTCAAATATAGTTCCCAGCATTAAGGATTCAACAACATATGAGCAATTTAGGGAAGAACCATCTGCAGTGGCATATAATTGACACAAGTTTGCCTAGTTCATAAAATCCATGCAGGCTGCAGCGACAATTAAGTCCCTAAAGGTATATGAATCTCTTAGGCAAAGAAAAAACACCTGATACTTCCCATCTATTAGCTCCCTCTTGAAAGGATACCACTCTGGATTTGTAACAAGGCTCTGCCATAACGAGCATAATTCAGTGGAATTCAGCTCCCAATCTCCAGAGAACTTCTTCATGCATGCATCTTTAAAAGGTCGGGGATCAACCTCTCCCATCCTTTTAATTTCAATCTTGGTTTGAGAACTCCAAAAGTCCTGCAAACCCGATATTCCAGTAACATGAAATCAGTTCATCAATAATTTTGTGCAACTGGAATTTGACATAAGGCAGATAGAATGGGTCAGCTTATCTCTGAATAAGATGAACTCTTACAGTTATCAATTCTGTGCGAGCATGCTGCAGCTCAAGGTTACTCATATGCTCTTTAAGTATAAGAGCTTGGTTTAAGTTATCCAAACATTGCAATTCATCCACCTTTTCATCCAACTCTTTTTTCAAATCATCAAGCTGAACAATCAGTGCATAGACACTGTTCATAGAGCTTTGTGCTTTCAACTGCAAGAGAGTTAATGGATCAGTTTAACTTGTCACTAAGAAGAGGAAAAGAATAACCATAATTAAACAAAAATACTAGGATTTGATGCGAAATAGATCATGTTGGATAGAATTTCAAGTATTTTCATTCCAGAGTGAGCAAATACCACAGTAGCTTGATTTCTTATCAGTATATTTAATGTTAGCCTCTTTACCTTATCCTCTCGAAGCATTAGATTTTTTAGTTCTTGGTCATGTTGAGCCTCTTGCTTATCCAATCTTTCAACTGTCATCTCAAGCTCATTCCTCAAAGACTCGAATTCCTGATGCAGCTTTTCACTATTTTGGCTAGCCAACTTGCTCTTCCTCTTTTCTGATAACACATAAAATTACATATAAACAAGATGTCTTAAATATCCAACCAATATGTAAAGGAATCTGAGTTAATATTAGAATTTCAATTTTCAGCCACATAGAGTGAAGAATCAAAGGATGTGAAAAGGCACAGGTAGACTACATTGAAGTGAGAGTTCCACCACTAATCTCATTTCATACGTTGTATATGTTATGCACAAAGATTGGGTAGCTTGTTCCTAAGAGGCTTAGATTTAGATTAAAAATTTGCAGTTTATCTGAACATTTACCATGATAACAGTTTAAAACCAACATTCATAGATTTATAGCCATCCTAACTATCTTGAGCCTATCATCCTCACATATGTTCATTACATGATTTTGTAACTATCAGCAGTCATAAATTGTTACAACCAAAAAGCAATTGAAATCCAAAACATGATTTATTAGCCTTCAATCACACTGACTCTGGCCTATACATGCCATTACCCTAATGATAATCAATTGTTTGAAAAGACCCACTTCACCATGTGCTCTCAAGATTCAACTTTCAACCCTTAGGTCAAGTATACCATGCTAGCCAACTATTAAAAACTCATGTCTCCTTCTGGTCATTACTTTTTGCTACTTGCCTTTTACATCCTAAAAAATCACTACATAGAAAAATAAAAAACATACCATCAACAACAACATAGTAATTAGTACATGTAAAAATAGGACCATACATTTTTTTTATCCGAAAAATTACATTTGAAACATTGAATTCTTGAAAAAAAATATTTTTTTTTCTTCTAGAAGCAATCCACAAAAATAGAAACCAAACCAAGCTAATGCAATGGGGCCAAACCAAATCCTAAAAACCAATTCAGGAAGTATAATATTGGGAAAATGGGGACCCTTTACTCTAAAAAATGAAGGAGTCATGTTGACGTTCAAAACTGATCAGCTAACCTTCAATATATTCTTGATGTAGCCTTGTTTGTTCTGCCTTCATTTTACTAAGAGCTTCAGAAACTTCATCCAACTTGAATTCCATTTCTAACAATTTTCCATTTTTAACATCAATCTCCTTAGCAAGGCTGACAACAAGATTCCTAGCTCTTTGTAATTCTTCAAGAACATCTTGGTTGTCCATTTAAACCTACAATGAGGTCAGATCAGTTTTTTAAAGCAACTAAAGTTAGAAATTTAAAAAAAAAAAGCCCGTTTACTTTAGAATTTAAATAGTCATGGTAATTCCAAGGAACCTTTTTTTGGCTTTCTTTTCTTCTTAAATATTCAAGGGAATTTTTTTTTTCATTTTTTTTTGGAATTGTTAAAGGAAGAAAGAGAGAATAAGAGAAAAATGCATGCAAAAAAGTTGAAGCCTTGAAATAAAATTAAACAAAAAAATAAATAAAGACTTGCCTTAATGGAGAAGACGAGTCGAAAGGGTCAGAGACTCAGTGTTTTTTTTTTTTTTTTTTTTAATGCAGGAAATAAACGTAAGGGACTGAGGGTTCGGGTTGACCCGGCCCAAGTGAAATGATCTAATTCTCTAATTAATTAATTAAGTTTTATTTTATTAAAAACAAGAAATGTAGAATTAAGAAAAATAATTTTTTTATGAAGAACTGAAATGTCGATGACATTTTGTAATACTAGAAAAACCTCCCAAACAAATTATTTTTTAAGTATAAATTAATATGTTTTGAAAATAATTATTTTAAATTATTTATTTTTTCTTTTATAGGTTGTTTGATTTTTTCTTTATTGAAAGATCCAAATATTTTCATTTCCTTTTAAAATATAAATTAGTTTGCTAATAATGTAATGCACGGATTATTTTTATTTTATTTAAATTTAAATAAAAATATAAATTAACATTATTAAATTATTTATATATTCAAAATATATGTAATAGATAAATAATATAATTAAAATACTAATTCATAATAAAAATAAAGTTTTTCTTTTCAAATTCTGCTGAAGGTTACAAAGAATTCTCTATTTCATAATTGCACAGTTATCATAAGATTCATATCTTTTTTTTAAAGAATTTTGGTGAAATTTTTTATAGTTATGAAGTTTTTTTAAATTAAGATATAAATAAATTTGAAATTAATACTACTGATAAGATTATCCTTAAATTATTTTTTTTCAAATTTATTTTTTTATAAAAAATAATATATTGATTTAAAATTATATTACCTATTTCACATTAAGATATGAATTAAAAAATTATTTACTTTTTAAATGTACAACTGACCTATAAGTTTATGTTTAGACACATTACTCTATTATATCAATTATTCAAAGCATTATTTTTATTTTATACGAATGAAAAATATTAAATAAATAAAAAATATATTACTTGATTGAGTAAATAATTTATGAAAAAATAAAAAATTTACAAACAACACTAATAAAAATAAAAGAATATATATGTTTTTGTAGTTTTAATGGGTTTTTAAAAAAATATTACAGCTAAAAAAATTACGATTTATTTTAAAAAAAATCCTACCTAATAGATTAAATAGCATATTTAGTGAAATAGTGCCTCCCACCTAATGAGTGAATAACATATTTAGTGAAATAATACATATCATAAAAAAAAAAAACACGTTAGTTTAAACTAATAAAAAAACTAAATTAATAGTACAAAAAAAAAATGTTTACCTTAGTAGGACATTGAAAAAGCTGTATAACTAAAAACTAATAACAATGAAAACTCTTTTAAAGTTGCAATGGTATATATATGTTTATATATATATATATATATATATATATATATATATTCACATTTACCTTATGAAATATATTTAAAAGTTGAATATAATTCAAGAGTTATTTATAAAAAATATTAAAGATATTAAATAATATTTTTAAAGTTATGATAAATTTAAATACTCATATTAACTACAAATAATTAGAAAAAATAAATTATTTTAAAATTAATTTTAAATTGAGCTGAGAGATATACAAGAGAAGCTTGATGTACAAGAGAAACTTTTTTGAAGTTGTTTTGGTATTTATATATTTTTTAACATTTTTTTTGTGAAATATATTTAAAAGCTAAAAACAATGTAAATATTATTTATAAAAAATATTAAATATATTAAATAATATTTTTAAAAGTTGTGATAAATTTAAATATTTATGTTAACTGTAGATAAATTTAAAAAGATAAATCACTTTAAAATTGATTTTATATTGAGATGAGGTGATGTATATGAGAAACTTTTATAAAGTTGTTTTGGTATTTATAATTTTTTTTCATATTTTCTTTGTGAAATATATTTAAAAGCTAAAGATAATATAAAAATTATTTATAAAAAATATTAAAGATATTAAATAATATTTTTTAAAATTATGATAAATTTAAATACTCATATTAACTCTAAATAAATTTTAAAAAATAAATTATTTTAAAATTAATTTTAAATTGAGATAAGGTGATATATAACAGAAAAAAATTTCATTCAAATTTAAATTAAATTTTTTATTTAATTTTAAATTTTTAAATAATTTAATAAATTTTTAAATATATTTTTTATAAATAATTTAAAATTAATAAATATATTATGTGCCATTATAATGAGAAATTTTAAGAATTATTTTACGTAAAAAAAAATTGTTCATATAAGCATCCACAATAATAATTGTTATCTAATTAATAATTATGTATGTTATAATAATAATATATATATAGATATGATTTACAATGTTAATATGTATTCTTAACGGTAATTTTTTTGTAAAAAGAATAATATTTGTAAACAAAAAAGATTTAAAAGAATAAAATCCAATAAAAAAACAAGACATGAAAGTTGAAAATCATAAAAAAAAAAAGATTTCTTAAAACTATTTTTCCATATACAAAAGATTAAAAATTATATTAGCCTAACATATCCTACTTTATTGCAAAAACCCAAAAGCCCAAAAAGCTTGAAGTGCCTTTTTATTAACGTCAAGACAAAAAAAAAACGTTAATGTTGAAAATATGTAAAAAAATGTGAAGAAATGTAATGAGAAAATTTAGCAATGAAATCCTAAATGCGCTTTATGTCACACTTTTCTTTATAACTCGACAAAAGCAGCCATGAAAATCCTGGAGCTTAAACTTTGAAGAGGGATTTGTGTACCGAAAGAAACAAAACAGTGGAGGAGAGAGAAGAGAAATGTGGATTCATTTATCGATTCTTTATCTCAAGCTATGGCCTCCTTTCTACCAAAAAAAAAAAATTACCATTTTTATTGCACAATGTATAGTATTTTGAACACTACATATAACTTAAAGTACCTTCAACAAATTCATCACGCAACACAGTCTCTTATCCGTCAGCTGTCTCAGAGTTGCAGTTGTGTCATTATATTTATGTTCCATTTCAGACAACTGCTGATTTTTGTATGAGATTTCCAACAAGTCTACGCTCTTTCTTTAGCTCTTCCTCATGGTTATGTCTCTCCATTTCAATTGAAGATTAAAGTGCCTGCAAAAATCAATCAAACAAATGGATTAGATTGGACTTTGAAGACTGATTAGCACTGCTCTGATTGGAAATTTCAGACCTTAGAGCTATCTTCAAAAATTAAACAATAGCATAAGAAGCAAAAGCATCTCATTACAAGAATTCAAACTCAGAAGTTTCAACTTCAAATCTTGAGATTAAAGGTGGGATTTATGGTGTATGAATTGCCTAATTTCCATATAAAAAAAAACAATAAAAAGAGAAGAAAAACGCTCACTTTGGAACTGAAAAGCATACATGTTTTCTAGTGCAAAAATTAATGTGATACTTTGGAGCTGAAAAAGCATGAAGAACAAACTGATTATTTGGAACAAACATCAAAAACCCAAAAAAAGAGAAGAAAGGCACTACCTTTAGGAAAGTAGGAATGGCTAAGGCCTAAGGCATATACAAAAAAATATGTATTTTTTTCTCTTGCACAAGTGAAATGCGGCCATTTTTGCTAACATCGAAACTTCAAATGTAAATAAGTAAATAAAGAATCTTACAAATTCAACAAAATTGGCAAACATGAGAGAAAACAAAATTGTTAAAATTTACACAATCTTGGGGTAAAATTGGGTTTAACCTCTCCTTTCTTCTTCTTTTTGCTGTAGAGTTAGAAAGATTTAACCTCTTCAAAGTTCAGGTTTTTGTTTTTGTGCAAGCAAACGCAGCTCCAAGAGACAACAAGCATAGAAGCTATATTTTTTGTGCGGCAAAAGAACATAATAAAAGCGCGGCACTGGGTCTATTATTACAGCCAAGTGGCATGGCCAGAAATGACCATGATATCAAGGATGACACGTGGCTGCTTTTCAAGTCATTTGTATACTTGGATGGTCTCACTTTAAGGGCCAACTGTATTCTAGTTTTTTTTTTTTTTGTTTTTTTCTCGAGAAAAAGAGAGAGTGGCTTCTGTTTTTGTTTCCTTTCTCTTTAATAGCTTGATTTTGTCCTATGTAGCAACAACTGGGGCCAAAAATGCTGTATCTTCCAAGCATTATTGTCATCTCTCTACCAAGTTCTTTCATGGAAGTAAAATCAATCTATGACTTTTGGTTTTGTGATTTTCTCAGTAGTATTTTTGTCAATTAAATAAGCTACTTTCTTAGTATTATTGTTTTCGATTAAAAAACATGAAATAAGGCTCCAAATGCCATAAATTTGCCTAATTGATGAACTTGATATTTGTTTAGAATAAGTAAATTGAAGGCATCTCTTTGCTTTTTGCTCAAACTGTCAAAATCATAGTGCTTCGTAAATGGTAAATGGTTTCATTTCATTCTAATATGGATGCCAATTGCCAGTCATTCCCACAAATGCCCACACTTACAAAATTCATGTATTGTGTTCATACAAACTCTTTCCAATGGCAATGAGCATTCCTCAAAGTCAAGGTGAGGCTTATAAAAGATGAGGTTACACTGAAAATTTTCATCAATTAAGCCATTTCTTGCCTATAAGCATCCCAAATGGGTAAAACAAAGGAAAATTCTCTGGCAAAGATGGATTCAAAGCGACAAATGACAAACGTTAAATTTCCAATTGGAAAGACAAATACTTGAAATTTTGGTCATATGAACTTCTTCCAAAGCAAAATTAAATTAAAGGATGGGAAACCCTTTTCCTTCCCAGTACATAT